GGCTCCGTCTAACATACTTTGGACATGTTGTAAGGAGAGACCAGTCCTTGGAGGACATCATGCTTGGGAGGGTGGAGGGACAGCGCAGGAGGGGAAGGCCCTCTGGAAAGTGGATTGATTCGATGACTGGGGCAGTCGGGATGAGTGTGTCGGAGACAATAAGATTGGCACAGCACAGAGCAGAGTTCAGAGCTGTTGTACATAGGGTCGCTATGAGTCACAAGCGACTCGATGGCACATAACAACAACAGGAACCTCAGCATTGTGCTCGGGACGTGACATTCAGGATGAAATAAACCATGGGACTTTTAAGGAGCTCTTTTGTTACACACAAGTACACATCCTTCTCATGGTACACACGGGATGTTTGTCAGTTTTATCTCGTGTGGTTCATTTTTTAAAGGAGCACAGTACTCAAGAGTGGCCTTCTTTCCTCTTTTGAAATAACCTGCTATTTATTTGTAAGGGGAGAGTCCAGAGCAAACCTGTCCAGTGGCAGTTCCTCTAGTTTCAGTGGGCCCAGTAAATCTAGAGTCTTTGAGAATCTGAAATTGTGTCTCACATTTTCTTTTTCTCCCTTTCTAGTAGGACCGATTTACTGTATTTCTGATCAGAACATTTATATGTACTTATAACCAGACATCACTCAGTTTTTCTGCCAAAAGTAGAGGATTCTTTGGTTAACAGATAGCCTTGTAGTCCAGTTCCTACTCTGCTTCTTCGGTTTCCTTCTTTCCCTTTTGCTCCATGTAAATAAACCTCAATACTCCTGCTCCTCACTAAATTACTATTGCATTATTTAATATCTTGCAATTATTGGAAAAATAATCTGTTACCTAAATAATTTTCATATTGACAGCATACATCCGTACATGTATATGTTACATCTATATACATCTATACATTAACAGCATACATCTCTATAAATATGTATGTTGTTGTTAGGTGCTGTCGAGTCAGGTACGATTCATAGCAACCCTGTGAACAGTGGATCTCAATCCTGTCCTATCCTGTGCCATTTTCACACTTCCTGACACACTAGAGCTCTTTGCAGCAGTCACCCACTTGGTTGAAGGTCTTCGTCTCTTTCACTAACCCTCCACCCTTCCAAACTTCATTTGCCTCTCCAAGGAATAGCTCCTCCTAGCCACATCCCCAAAGTATGTGAGGCAAAGCTGCATCATCCTTTCAAAGAGCATTTCGGCATACCCTCTCCATGACATTTATTTGTTCTTTCGTCAGTCCAGAGACATATTAATTTGTTTTTTCAGTCCATAGGATGTTCATTGCTTTTCTCCAACATCACAACTCAAAAGCATTAATTCTTCTGCATTTCTTATGCTGAAAGAACTGAAAAATAAATTTAAACCTTGAGTTGCAATACTTAAAGATGTTATGGGCAATATATTGAATGATCCAGAAAGCGTCAAAAGAAAATGGAGGGGAATACACAGAATCACTGTTTCAAAAAGAGCTACTTGACATTGAAGAATTTCAGGAAGCCAAGAGTCAATGGTAATGAAAGAGGATGTGGAAGCAGCATTGAGGGCATTCACAAAAAAATAAGGCCCCAGGAGTTGATGGGTTGCCAATTGTCATATTTCAATTAACAGATGCAACCTTGGATGTGCTCACTAGTCAATGCCAACAAATTTGGAAATTTGGAAGACAGCTGTCTGGCTAGCAGTTTGGCAGAGGTCCATCTTTGTTCCCATATTCAGGAAAGGGGAATGTGGAAACTGTCAAACTATCACATTCAAGCAAAATTCTGCTGAAGATCATTCAAAAATGACTAGAACAGTATGTAGATAGAGAACTGCCAAAAGTTCAAGCAGGATTTAGAAGATGCTGTGGCTCCAGGGATATCTGCTGATGTCAGATGTCAGATGGGTCCTGGCTGAAAGTAAGGAATACCAGAAGAATGTATGTTCGTGCTTTATTGACTATGCAAAGGAGTTTGACTGTGTGGACCATGACATGTAGTGGATGACATTGAGAAGAATTGGAATTCAGAGTACAGACTTGTGCTCATGCAAAACCTATACCTGTTGTGTGAACAAAGCAGGGGAACACTGCATGGTTTAAAATTAAGAGAGTGTGTCAGAGTTGTAGTCTCTCTCCACACCTATTCAATCTGTAAACTGAGCAAATTATTTGAGAAGCTGAACTCCCTGAAGAGGAATGTGGCTCCATGACTGGAGAGAGACTCATCAATAACCTGTGTTATGCAGATGACACAACCTTGTTTGCTGAAAGTGAGGAGGACTTGAGGCACTTGTTGCAGGGGATCAAGGAATGCAGCCTTGATATCTTTGATGTCATCCCACAACTCATCCAGTCTTCGATCATTGGTGTTCAGTGCTTCAAATCTATTCTTAAGATGATCTTGAAATTCAGATGGAATAGATTACTGACCATATCTTAGTTCTCCTGGACTTAATTTTCTTCCACCTCAATTTGAACTTTCACTTGAGTAATTAATTAATGGTCTGAGTCACAGTCTGCCCTGGCCTAGTTTTGACCGCTAATATTGAGCTTCTGCAACTGTTCTTCCACAGATGTAGTTAATCTGATTCCTATGCATCCTAACAGATGAGATCCTGCGTAAAGTTATCCGTGCCTTTTTAAAAGGTATTTGCAATGAATGAATAAATGAAAATACAAAATGTGATCATTTTATTTCCAGCCTCATTTCCATCCCCAAGCCCATATTTTTCAACTACTATTTTTTCTTCGCTGTTTCCAACTCTTGCATTCTAGTCACCAGTTAACAATGCATCTTGATTGCATTTTTGGTCAATTTTGGATTGCAATATTTGGTTGAATTTCTCAATTTTGTCCTCTTTGGTTCTAAATGTAGGAGCTGATATTTGAATAATAGTCATCCTAACAGGTCTTCCTTGTATGTGTATAGATAATATCCTATCACTCACAACAATTGTATTTAATGATTTAATGATTTAATGAAACGGACATATATATGTATATACACACACACATTCCATAAATTTAATTGTTGTTGCAGAGTTACATATCACAGAATTTACCAGTAGATCCCTTTTTTGTGTATATCTTAGCTACATCTGTGTTTCCTTTTTCACAACCATGAATAAACAAAATTGACTACTATCTAGAGACCAACTCCCTGTTCCTCGCTCCCCTACCCCTAGTAGACTCATCAGGAAACACTGGTCTTTACCTAATGTTTTTGCCATTTCCTAAAAGTGAGATCAAACACTTTGTCCTTTTGTAGTTGTCTTACTCAACATTGTGTCTTCCCGGTACATCCACCTTGTAAGATGTTTCAGGAACTCATTTTTCTTTCTGGCTAATTAGTGTCCTGTTGTATATATATGAACTCTTAGAGTGCAAAGAGCCTATTGTTTTTATCAGGTTCTAGTAGTAAAGGATCCTTACCCCAAAACTCCTGTGCTTTTTTTAAAAAAAAATTTTTTTTCTTATTATTATTTTTTGTGTGTGTGAGTGTACCGTTAAATCAGATCTGACTGGTACAGGAGGAGATTGTCCCCCCTTCCCCGGCAGAGCATCTGGTGGATTCGAACCGTGTGCCTCTGGGATTATAGTTGCAGTTCCTTGCCTAGTGGCCACCAGACCTCCCTGAACTCCTGTGCTTTTAAAATCTCCTAGGCTTTCTCCTGTTTGAGTTGCTGACTCTAACGCCACTCGCCATTTGGGTTTTCTCAGAGGTAGAATGTGGAATGGAAGATGCAGTACTTCACGAAAGTACTTCTTCGAGTTATTGATCGTTTTCCAGCTGATAGACATTAGAATTTGTTTTTCTATTTACCTCACAATTGCACGCCAGTATTTGTTACAGGTGTATTTTTGTCTTCAGTACCAGGACCGTCTGGTGATAATGGCATCAGTATTACCATGATCTTGATGGCCTGGATGGTTATTGCTGTGGTCCTGTTCCTTCTGAGACCCCCCAACCTGAGAGGATCCAGTTTACCTGGAAAGCCAACCAGCCCTCACAATGTAAGTGTTGTGCATCTGAAATCCTTGCTAGGCTGGGTGGGCTGGAGTGGTATGAACTGGGAAGAGAAAGTAGTTTTTTTTTATTAAAGAGTCTAAACTATTAAGAAAGAAGCTTTAACTCATAAGACTTAAGGATTTCCTATTTAGTGCTAGCAGGTCTTGAAGTTCCTAGTGGTTTCATCTAGATGGTGTTACATATAGAAGCACAAACCATTAGCGCCAAAAGAATTTTAAAGTAAGTTTCATGCTTTACTCGCATGCCAAACATGAAAATGATCCCATTCATAACCCACAGTAATTTTTCTCAACCCCTAGCCCTCTGTTCTCCAGTTTTATTCACCTCACAGTTGATCCTTTTCCTCTCCTGCTTAAAGCCTGCTGGACTCCCTTACCAGCTCCAGCTCCATTATTTTACTCTTCACTTTCTTTCTTCAGTCTTAATGATTAAATACAATAGAGCCACTAAGCCTGTCTGGCTAAATCCTGATTTCCTCTTGTTTTTTCTGCATCTTGTTTCTCTCAAACCCCTTCTACCAGTATGCATCACAGTAGATCCTCTGAGCTGGCAAAAAGGAGAGTTAGGAATCTTTATTGTTACTAAATCTTGACAGTCATTATTATATCCATTTTTGTCATCGCTTTGTGCCATTGGGTCAGTTCAGCTCAGGACCCGGTTGGACAGAAGAGCCTTGTCCCACAGGGTGTCCTGAGTCATAATCCTTAAGAGAGCAGATTGCCAAGTCATTTCTTACACGTAGCAGTTACATGTTTACAGACAAATTCTTTAGCTGTTATTGCACCACCGGGGTTCCTTATACCTTTTTAGAAATGTTTAAATGGAATGAAAACCCAACAGTAGTATTTTTAATGTAGCTTCCATTTAAAGCTTATTTTTAACTTTTCAGAACCAGTATTTACCCTTTTTTCCCCCGTTTGATTTAATTTTTACATGATTAATTGCTTGTTCAATTCCTAACTACCTCACTATTCCTCATCTCAACCTGTGAAATTTCTAAAATTACTGCTTTTTCCCCTCAACTATATGTTGGTAACTCTAGAAGAAAGTTCATTTAGATGAATGTCTTAAATTACTCATTGCCACTGAGTTGATTCCACCTCATGACAGCCTTGCCCTGGGGTCCAAGGCTGTAAATCTTTAAAGAAAGGCGATCTCATCTTTCTCCTATAGAATGCCAGGTGGATTCGAACTATCAACCTTTCCGTTAGCAGACCGACATTTAACACACTATACCACCAGCAGAGCTTCTAATCTTTTACATAAACAAAACCCCAAAATCAGACCAACTGCTG